GTGGCTGGCACCTTAGCCGGTTGAGCTATAGGCGCCGAGCCAGTATACTTACTTCTAATACATTTTCTTTTGCTGCTCTTGTGAGGTTTTTTTGGGGGGGTGGGGGGACAGAATCTCACTCAGTTACCCTGGGGTTGAGTGCCATAGTGTTATAGCTCACAGCAACCTCAAACTCTTGGGCTCAAGTGATTCTCTTGCCTCAGTCTCCCGAGTAGCTGGGACTACAGGTGCCACCACAATGCCAGTCAACATTGTTAAAATGTTTATACTATCCAAAGAGATCTACAGATTTAACACAGTCCTCATTAAAGCACCAATATCACACATTAGAGAACCTGAAAAAATAGTTCTATATTTTGTATGGAAACAGAAAAAACCCAAATAGCCACTGCAATTTTAAGAAATAAAAATAAATCTGGAGGCATCACATTATCAGACTTCAGGTTATACTACAAGTCTATAGTGATCAAAAAAGCATGGTATTGGCACAAAAATAGAGACATAGACATGGACCAGAGTAGAGAACTTAAAAGAGATGAAACCAATTTGATATCCCCATTTGATTTTCAATAACTAAGCAAATGTATACACTGGGGGAAAGAATCCCCACTTAACAAATGTGCTAGGAGAATGGGTTGGTCACATGTAAAGACTGAAATTGGAACTTCACCTCTCTCTACTTACAAAAATTAACTGATTCTGGATAAAAGATTTAAATGTAAGCACAAAACAATGAAAATTCTAGAAGAAAAGTATGGGAAAAAATTTATCGATATTGGCCTGGGTAAATATTTTATAAAGACGACTCCATTGGCAATTGCAGCAACAATGAAAATAAATAAATGGGACTTCATCAACCTAAAACGCTTCTACACAGCTAAGGACACAAACTCAAAGCAAATAAAAACTCTCTGAATGGGAGATGTTCACGTTACAGATCTGGCAAAGGGCTAATAAACCAGAATCACAAAGAACTGAAGCAAATCAACAAGAAAAGAGCAAATAACCTCATTAATCACTGAGCAAGAGATAGGAACAGAACCATCTCCTAACAAGATAAACAGATGGCCAACAAACACATGAAAAAAATCCTCATCCTTCCTAATCATCAGAAGAATGCGAATCAAAACCACCTTGAGATATCACCTAACCCAGTGAGATTACCCCTCTAATATTCTGAAATTTAAAAAAAACTGAATTAGAAGCTCCTCAAATCTCTATAAAATCAAATCTCAAAAGCAATGTATTTTGTAAGAAGGAAGGAGAAACAGAAACTGACATTTGTTTTTGTTATCACAATACTGTCTCCAATATAAAGAGTCCCTGGAAATAGAAAAAAAAAAAGACCTCCCCAAAAAATGGGCAAAGCATACAGATGATTCACAAAAAAGGAAATCTAAATAACCTCCAATGTATGAAAAGGTTGACATCTTCACTCAAAATAAGACAAATAAATGCAAATACATAAATTATACCAGTAAAGATACCATTTCTCATCTATCAAATGAACAAAAAGCTGTAACTATCTGTCATGGGAGCAGAGATAAAGGTACCCTCATACATAACTGCTTAGAGGGCTCTAAAAAGGCATTCACATTAATATTATTATAGAGAAATTGCTTTTCCTTCCAATCTCCTACCACTTCACTATTGTTCTACTCATTGAAAAGTGATAAATACACTCATACTCTATGTCCAAAGTTATTCGTAAGTTTAACATACAGGCAGTCTCTGGGTTACAAACAAGGTAAGTTCTGTAGCCTTGTTTTTCTTTTTCCTTTTTTTTTTTTTGAGACAGTCTCATTCTGTCCACCCTGGGTAGAGTGTCATGGCATCATCATTGCTCACATCAACCTCAAACTCCTAGGCTCAAGCAATTCTCTTGCCTCACCTCTCAAGTAGGCAAGTTATTCTATTTTCAGTAGAGATGGTGTCTTGCTCTTGCTCAGGCTGGTCTCCAACTCCTGAGCTCTGGCAATCTACCCACCTCAACCTCCCAGAGAGCTAGGATTACAGGTGTTGAGTGTAGCTTTGTTTTTAAGTTGAATTCCTATATATGATGAAAAAGGTACATTTACCCATTACCTGTAATAATCTCCATTCTTAAGTGTGAGTCATATGTCACTCAGATGTTTGTAACTTGGAGACTTACTATAATAGCCTCTGTTCTTAAGTGTGAGTTGTACGTCAGTCAGATGTTTGTAACTTAGGGACTGCCTATAATAGGAAGTTAAGATTTCTCAAAATGTAACTTTTTATATTACTTAACTTCTATATGTTGAAAATGTATTACTCACTGAAAAAACAAAATTTAAGAAATAGAAAGATGTCTTGGTGTGTGACACACCTTTTGCGGGCAAAACACAACTGTAAGAGGGACTTTACCTAACAAATGCAATCAATGTAACCTGGTTTCTTGTACCCTCAATGAATCCTCAACAATAAATAAATACATAAATAAGAAATAAAAAAGATAATTTAAAAACATTTATTCCTATTTCCTGCTTGCTTTCTCCTCTTTAGTTTTAGCACATGCTTACAACCTACCTCCTAGGCGATGGAGATCTAGAAGATTTCCTCTTCATCGTTTTGGATGTTCTTGGTGATCTGGAACAACTCCTGCTCCTCCTCCTTCGTCTTTCCCTGAAAGCCAAAAGTCATTTCAGAAAACAGTAGATTAAAGAAAGGGAAACTCAAGTATACAACAGCAAAAGGGTCCTCAATACTCTCAAGTGAACAGTGTTCTTTAGAGGCTAGTTTAACTTCATGTCCTTATGAACATGATCTATTAACTAATTTTAGGGCAGGTCAAATTATGAACCAGGAATTTTACAGACTTATTAAAATATCATCTGAGATTGAGTTCATATTAGAAAGGGTAGAGAGGTGCTCCTTTTTTATCATATTGAACATATCACTTGAACAATAATTTCCTGAGTAGAAAAATATTAACAATATTTCAGTTTCTCTCAAGTTAAATATGTCTTTCTAAGCACCTAAAACATATTTTACTTATCAGATCCTTTGTCACCCATCTAGCTCCTGCTGCCCCACTGTGGATTATTTTGTAACAAAATAACAGGTCCTTTTCCATACTGAAAGGTAAGTTTGTGAAATGTGTACTTTCTAGACCAAAATATTTAGAAGGGCTCTAAAAAGGCATTCACATTAATATTATGGAGAAATTGCTTTTCCTTCCAACTTCCTACCACTTCACTATTGTTCTACTCATTTAAAATTCAGTACACAAAATGTTTTAGATGTAAGTAAAAAAGTTAAAATCTGGGATTTAAATATGCCAAAGTAAAAAATAATTACTAAGCAGATTAACAATGTTTACTATTAAAAACTATTTTCGCCAGCTCAGCGCCCATAGCTCAGCGGGTAGGGCGCCGGCCACATACACCAGGACTGGCAGGTTCAAAGACACCCAGGCCTGCCAAACAACAATCACAACTACTACAACAACAACTACAACAAAAAATAGCTGGGCACTGTAGCAGGTGCCTGTAGTCCCAGCTACTTGGGAGGCTGAGGCAAGAGAATCGCTTAAGCCCAAGAGTTAGAGGTTGCTGTCAGCTGTGATGTCACAGCACCCTACTGAGGGCAACATAATAAGACTCTGTCTCAAAAACAAACAAACAAAAAACTATTTTGCTTAACATATTAGCAAATGATGCATACTCTAAATTATTTCATTTGTAAGGGTGCTCAACATTGAAACAACAAACTTTACTATGTCTATAATTTAGATGAGGTGTGAGGATATATATAGTAGGTCAGTAAATATGAAAAGCCCAATTTCAAATCAAAGTTCATTATATCTCAAACAAGAACCAGTAAAATTAATCAAAGAATGCTCCTAAACTATTGACACAGTTTTGCCATTTTAAGGGTACTTTGTATATGCCAGCAGCAAAGCCTGGAGAGTGAGTGGCAATAAAATTGTGAAAGGTGTTTTCCACAGCTTATTGAGAATTAAATATTTTTCCTCTTAAGTGGTCTAAGCCCCACAAGAAGTGGTAGTCAGTTGGTGCAAGGTCTGGTAAATATGGTAGATGACAGAGTTTCCTAGTCTAGCTTCTGGGACTTGAACAGCACTATTTGTGCAACATGGGAATGAGCGTTTTCTTGCAAGAAGATTGATCTGTCTCCAATAATCAATCTTGGCTGCTAAATCACAAGTACCCATCATTTCATCCGACTGGATGCAGAAGACACCCACTGTAGCCAACTGACCCAGTTTCACTGCAGTGTGTAATACCAGTGCTGGACCACCTAACAGACACCACATGGCTCATTTTCAAGATTAAAATCAACAAAACAGAATCAAATCATTGGCGTACTGTGAGTTCATTAGCCACATCCTTGCCAAACACATTGTTGTTTTCAGCTGTCCGTGCTACATAGGTTCCACCACAAACTCATACTCAAAAATAACACAATTTTTTGACTTACGCATGGCTTCACAAAAATTCCTCTAAAAAACTTTTTTTTTTTTTTTTTTTGGAGACAGAGTCTCACTTTATCACCCTCAGTAGAGTGGCATGGAGTCACAGCTCACAGCAACCTCCAACTCCTGGGTTTAGGCTATTCTCTTGCCTCAGCCTCCCAAGTAGCTGGGACTACAGGTACCCACCACAACGCCCAGTTGTTTTTTGTTGTAGTTTGGCCAGGGCCAGGTTTGAACCTGCCACCCGCAGTATATGGGGCCAGTGCCCTACCCACTGAGCCACAGGTGCCACCCTAAAAATTTTTTTGAAAGATAATTACAAGCCAAAACATGCATTTGAAAGAATGAGGATGTACCTTCACAAGCAAAAGAAAACAAGAATTGTTGAAGTGAAATGTCAGAGATATCATCTATCAAACTTTCTTTTAAAATCAAACTTATTACTAAGGAAACTGGACACTTCATACTTAATAACCTAATATTAAATGGTTTTTGTTTTTTTTTTGAGACAGGCTTTCACTCTGTCACCCTGGATAGAGTGCTGTGGTGTCACAGCCCACAGCAATCTCCAACACCTGCATTTCAGCAATCCTCTTGCCTCAGCCTCTCAAAGAACAGGACTACAGGCACCTGCCACAACACCCAGCTAGATTTTCTAATTTTAGTAGAGACGGGATCCCGTACTTGCTTAGGCTAGTCTTAAACTTCTGAGCTCAAACATCTGCCCATCCTGGCCTCCCAGAGAGCTAAGATCACAAGTATGAGTCACCGTGCCTGGCCTAACATTAAATGATTAACATATCCAATGATTTATTTCACAAGGAGCTCTGATAATCAGTGACCACATGGCTGAAAGAACCAAATTTGCTTGAATTTAGGTTCTCATTGTCAACCCAGGAGATGATTCTAACAGACTAATACAACTATTGTTGGAATAGTAACTTGGCCTTCTGTAAGTTTTCAGTTGTAAAATAAAAAATTAAGTAATGCTCACACATGGTACAAATAGCGGATGTTTGTAAAAGACCATAAAATCGCAAGAACTTTGAGAACACAAATAAATCAATTCTAACTTTATCTAAGGCTTTCTCCTCCATTACCCACTTTTATTTCCAAGAAACTCAAAAATTATACTTCCTAACTAATATGGAAACTAGATAATGATATTTCATTGATACAATGCCATTCTGTAACAGCTCAGCATAAAAAACAAAAGTAATTTTTTCAAAGCATGAGAATGCCAGCATATTCCAGACTTCAAGTTTACACAAAACAGCTCTGCCTTGACCAGTATAATTCATATTAGCCGTTTGTTTGGAAAGCACTTCATATGGATGTCCAGTAACTACTAGGCAATGATAACGAGAACTAAGGCTAAATAGGCAGTAATCTAGGTAGTCAATTACTTGAGAAAGAAGCTGTAAGCTACAGTATGAATAATATTACAGAGTGTCCATTGCACGGTTTCACAATTGTGAAACAATTTAAATTGCACACAAACTTTATGGACACCATGTATATTTAAATTTTAGTTACACAACTTATTAGCTGTACAACCGGGGTCATGTTATTTAACGTGAGTCAGCTTTTTCAACAGAAAAAGGGAGATAATAACTCAAGCCTTACAGAGTTGTTTTAAGGATATTGTACCATAAAGTACCAAGCATAGAGTTTGGCACATAGTAGGAGGTGTTCAACAAATATTCTCTCCCTCCCTTTCTTATTCTTACCTTTACTGGCAGTAACTTTTAAGCAACAAGCATTTTTTAAATATCAAAATGTTCATTAAAAATACAGATTAGGGGCTCAGCACCTGTGGCTCAAGTGGCTAAGGCACCAGCCACATACACCTAAGGTGGCAGGTTCGAAACCAGCCCGGATTCGCCAAACAACAACGACAGCTGCAACCAAAAAATAGCTAGGTGTTGTGGCGGGCTCCTGTGGTCCCAGTTACTCGGGAGGCTGAGGCAGGAGACTCGCTTGAGCCCAGGAGTTGGAGGTTGCTGTGAGCTATAATATCACAGCATTCTACCCAGGGGGACAGTTTGAGGGTCTGTCAAAAAAAAATAGAGATGAGGAGGCAATGTGAAAACAAATTGGGGTAGCGCCTGTGGCTAAAGGAGTAGGGTGCCGGCCCCATATACCAGAGGTCCAGAGGTGGCGGGCTCAAACCCGGCCCTGGCCAAAAAAAAAAAAAAAAAGAGAAAACAAAACTATGAAGTAGATTTTTTTTCTGAGTAGTTACAATATTCCCTTTTGGCCAGGTGTCCTGGCTCACACCTGTAATCCTAGCACTCTGGGAGGCTGAAGCGGCTGGATTACCCTGAGCTCACAGGTTCAAGACCAGCCTGAGCAAGAGTAAGACCCCATCTCTTAAAAAAAAAAAAAAAAAAAAAACAGCCAAGCATGTGGCGGGTGCCTGTATTGCCAGCTACTCCAGAGGCTGAGGCAAGAGAATCCCTTTAGCCTAAGAGTTTGAGGTTGCTGTGAGCTATATGATGCCATGGCACTCTACTGAGGATGACAAAGTAAAACTCTGTCTCAAAAAAAAAAAAATTAAAAAACATTTCCCCTTTTAATAAATCAAAGCATCTCATAAGCATTAGGAAAAAAGCTAAAAGATTAGAAACTATAGCTCTTTAAGAAGGTCTTATAAAAGCAAAGACATTTCAAATTACTCAATCATTATGAACTAATGTCAGTTATCTTTTATTTTGCAGGCCCTAGAGCAGGGGTCCTCAAGCTTTCTAAACAGGGGGCCAGTTACTGTCCCTCAGACAGTTGGAGGGCCGGACTGCAGGCCCCAGGACGAGTTGGCTGCTAAGCAGGACAGGCAGCGATGACAAAAACACTCAGCGGGCCAGATAAATGTCCTCTGCGGGCCACATATGGCCCACGGGCCGTAGTTTAAGGACACCTACCCTAGAGATTAAGAATAAATTTAGAAGTATGAACACTGAGCAACGTAAAATGGCCCATGAAAAATGTAAACACTTCCAAGCCATCTGAAAAAGTAAATTCAAGTTTTTAAAAAAGAATCAAAACATCATTTGGTGCTATAAAGGATAATATTTAAACAATTTCATAAGCACAGAGGCATGAATGACAAACCACCAAGAAAATACTTCACAGTAAAGGTGCAGTTACAGGCTCAAGTGATACAGCACTAATCCTTCAATTTTTGGTTCAATATGCTGAAATCCTACAAAGACCTGTTTAAGCCACATTTTAACATATATTATTGCTTCCAACTTTGTTTCTGAGACAGTTTTTAAAAGCAGGTGACAAGTACTAGTTAAACAATTTTCAAGCTTAATCTCTATAAACAGACATAGCTACTACACTTCTGACTTTAAAGTACAGAGTGAACGGAGAACTTTCTTGTAAGCTTCAGTTTCCTCATGTTTTAAAAACAGTAATAACTGATTAACAGTCATCTCACAGGTCTGTTCTTAAACAAAGTGAGACATGCAAAGTCTGATGAGACATAATATCTGCCACCCAATAAATGCTTGCAATTATCTTTTATTATCTAGTCAAAGGCCAGTATCAAGAGTAAACTATTAAAATATACATTTAGCTAGCATAGTAGCTCATATCTGTAATCCTAGTACTCTGGGACACTGAGGCAGGTGGATTGCCTGAGCTCAGGAGTTCCAGACCAGCCTGAGTAAGGGCGAGACCCTGTCTCTAAAAATAGCCAGGTATTGTGGTGGGTGCCAGCTATTCAAGGACTGAGGCAAGAGGCAGGAGGCTAAGGCAAGAGGATCACTTGAGCCCAAGTTTTGAGGTTGGTGTGAGCTATGATGCCACAACACTCTACCAAAGGTGAGAAAGTGAGGGAAAAAAAAAAAAAAAAATATATATATATATATACACACACACATATAGTACAAAATACATATTCTTCTATATCAAATTGTTTTCTCTAAAAAATCATCTTTAAAATCTTTAAAACTTGTTAAAAATATATAAATATTTAATATTTCTAAATTAGATAGTTTAACACAAGTTAGGAACTTCCATTTATTTATAGTCATGGTATCATCTGAAGTAAGGGATATTCAAATCTCAAAGTTGGTCCTCATTTCATAGCTGTTACTATGGCAACTTGCTGCCACCTGGCGGCAGACTACTTATTAACAAATTGGTAGTACAGTTTTAAGAAAATCCAAGCCTTAAAACTGACAAATAAGACAATCAAAATTTTAATGTGATACAGTCAACAAAATAGAGGTTAAAAATTAACAAAAAGGGCTAACACTGCAACTTTAGAAACCATTTTGCTTTTTAAAATTCACCACACCATTCTAAAAAAACATAGAAGCCTAAGGGGTCAAGTCTTCTTATACTTTTTAAAAATAATACCTTCTTAGGCTGGGCTCAGTGGCTCATGCCTATAATCCTAGCACTCTGGGAAGCTGAGGGGAGTGAATCGGCTGAGCTCATGAGTGTGAGACCAGCCTGAGCAAGAGCATCACCCTGTCTCTAAAAATAGCCAGGCATTGTGGTGGCCACCTATAGTCCCAGCTACTCAAGGGGCTGAGGCAACAGGATCATTTGAGCCCAAGAGTTTGAGGTTGCTGTGGGCTATGATGCCACAGTACTCTACTGAGGGCAACAAAGTGAGACTCTATCTCAAAAAATAACAGTGGGTTGCAAAGGAACTAAAACTTTTAATAATAATGTTGCCCAGTATCATTTCTTCTTGCAAACAAGTCTAATACTGTGGCAATCCCTCTGATAAAGAAATATTTACTGTGAAATGTTCTGATATTATCATACTGATTCCACTTATATAGAGTAACCTTCCCCCCTCAGTTAAAAGTTATGTTTTCATGTAAACCCCTCCATAAAAAATATTAAGCATTATCAAACCTGCTGGAACTACGAGATCTTCTTGATGCATTATAACTTCTGGGTGGTGTTCTGGATTTTTTATCCTTCTTTCTTTTTTCATCTATCTCTTTGGACCTGTCCTTTTCTCGTTCCTTTTCTTTGTCCTGTTCCTTTTCCTTCTCTTTGTCACGCTCCTTTTCATGCTCTTTTTCTCGCTCTTTCTCTCTGTCCTTTTCCTTGTCTTTTTCCCGGTCTTTGTTTTTACCCCGTTCCTTTTCTTTTTCACGCTCCTTTTCCCTCTCTCTCTCTTTGTCTCTTTCCTTTTCTCTATCTTTCTCTTTCACTCTTTCCTTGACCTTTTCTCGAGTGTCTTTTCTCTTGTCCCTTTAAAAACAAAAATAAATAAATTCATAACTGAAATAATTCTACTCCCCCCAAAAGGACCGCCCTCCTTTTCCTCAACAACTATCAACATAAAACAATTCATAATGGCTATACACATTACATAGAAATTTTTGTATAACTCAGGTGTCCAAAAAGCCACTAAGTGATGCAATTATCACGCTGAATTGAGTTCAGAAACCTCGAGTCATACTGACGTCTGATTGAAATCAATGGCAATAAATATGAATTACAGATTACTAAAACAATACAAAAAATTTTTTTTCTTTCATTAAAGCCTAAACCACAAGAGATTTTAAACAAATGAAATCAATAAAAAAATTAACCTTAATTTCTCTAAAACGCACCTTGAGTGTGAACGACTCCTTGACTTTCGTCTCTCCCTTGATTTAGAACGCTTTTTATGTGGGCTCCTAGATCTACGTCTGTCTTTTTGTCTTGAACGTGATCTATTATGGGATCTACTCCTAAAGAAAAACAAATTATTAGACTATCAAAACTTATTCTCAGAATTTTACTTTTTGAAAAATTTAAAATGGCTTTCAAATAAGAGAAGTTAATAATCTGTCCCAACATTATGTCAATATTTTAACATTTTCTTATTTGTCTGTGTATATATATGTATATATAATGCTTTAGTTAAGATTACCTAAAATAAGTTTATTTATTAGAAACTTTACTCAACATTTTTGTTGTCTAGAACAGAGAGACAGAAACAAAGAATTTATCAGCCAGGTGAGGTGGCTCACATCTGTAACCTTGGCACTCTGGGAGGCCGAGGTGGGTGGATCTCTTAAGCTCAGGAGTTCCCAGACCAGTCTGAGCAAGAAAGAGTCCCCATCTCTGCTAAAATAGAAAAATTAGCTGGGTGTTGTAGTAGGCACCTGTAGTCCTCGCTACGTGGGAAACTGAGGCATAAGGATCATCCGAGTCCAAGAGTTTGAGGTTGCTGTGAGCTATAGCCACTCAACCCCATGGTGACAGAGTTAGTCTGTATCCAAAAAAACAAAAATATTAACAGTGATTTCCTATGTCAGACTTAAGTTTGATATTTTCGGCTCAGCACCTGTGGCTCAAGCGGCTAAGGTGCCAGCCACATACACCTAAGGTGGCGGGTTCGAATCCCCAGCCCGGGCCTGCCAAACAACAATGATGGCTGCAACCAAAAAATGGCCAGGCGTTGTGGCAGGGCCTGTAGTCCCAGCTACTTGGGAGGCTGAGGCAGGAGACTCGCTTGAGCCCAGGAGTTGGAGGTTGCTGTGAGCGTGATGCCATGGCACTCTACCCAGGGGGATAGCTTGAGGCTCCATCTCAAAAAAAAAAAAAAAAAAGTTTGATATTTTCAGGTGTGCCTTTCTTTTGCTAATCATTACATGCCTCAAATTAGTATAAAAATTTTTCCCATGGTCCATGTTTTCATACCATAAAATGTCTTTAACTCTTGATTTGCATGTACTCTGGTTGTAGCTCTTTTTTTTTTTTTGAGACAGAGTCTCACTTTGGTGCCCTTGGTAGAGTACTGTGGTGTCATAGTTCACAGCAACTTCAAACTCTTAGGCTCAAGAGATTCTCTTGTCTCAGCCTCCCTAGTAGCTAGGACTACAAGCATCCGCCACAACGCCCGGCTATTTTTTGGTTGTAGTTGTCATTGTTTGGTAGGCCCGGGCTGGGTTCGAACCCACCAGCTCCTATGTATGTGGCTGGCACCCTAGCTGTTGAGCTACAGGCACCAAGCCAGAGGGTATAGCTCAACTTGTCAAGGGAATAATAGTTACATGTCCTAATAGTTTCTATAAATAGTTGTATACTGTTTGTCATAACCAACATACTAAGAATAATATAAGGAAGCAAAGTACTAATGATGGTACTTGTAAATTAAAACTATATGTTTGTATAAAAATAAAAATCATTACTCCTAAGTTCAAACTAGATATATTCAAATGTTAGATTTGCAATGCTTTGATTTTATAGCTTTCACTACAATCATAGCTATAGGTTGAGTATCACTTATCTAAAATGCCTGGGACCACAAGTGTTTGGAATTTCAGATTTTTATAAATCTAGAAAATTTGCAATATATATATTTTTACCAGGTGAGCATCCAAAATACAAAAATCCAAACACCAAAATGTTCCAAAGAATATTTCCTCTGAGTATCATGACCACACTCAAAAAGTTTTGGATTTTGGAGCATTTCAGATTTTCAAGGCTCAAACCATATAAAAAATAATAAAAAACTTTTATTAGTAGAATTCTTGCAAGAAAAACAACTGTTATTCCAACTTTGATTAGGTCCTCTTTCCGTAATGAAATAAGTATTTTAATAATGTAATTTTGTTCTCTATATGAGGTATCTTAAGCACTATTTATTAAAATGTAACAAAAAGGAAGCACACAACTTAAATAGCAAACTGATTAGACTCACCGGCTTTGGGGTCTGACAGTCTGGCTCTAGCTGTGAGAACTCTAGCTAGCCACTTAAGCTCTCTAAGCTTGAGTGCAGTAAAAATAATTATCTACATCTCCTAGGACAGTCATGAGGATTAATTCTGAAGATGTATGTAAAACTGCCTAGCAGTCTCTGGCACAGAGTTAATTCTTAGTACTCTTAACTCTCAATATCATCATCATTAAAAATTAACATAAATGTAAATTTTAAATTACACATGTACTCTAAGAAGGTCAAATGAACTTCTGCAAGTATGCTTTCTGTAACTAACATTCATCTTAATGGTCATGTTTTAGTAAGTTAAAGCAAATACCTACAAAAGAGACACACTTAATGCTTGTGTTATGCCATACAATCAGAAAAATTGTCATACAATCCTCAAGTAATAACAAAATCATGTTTAAAAAAAGTTTTCACGGCTCGGCGCCTATAGCTCAAC